CAAAGAAAATAATTTTAAGTGGTAATATTTACCCAGAATTATATTTCTCACAATCAGAATGCTGACTGCCACATACTCACTCTCCTGGTCCTCCTGACAGCCTTCTGAAGGAGGTATTACTGATACCCAGGCTTTATAGAGAAGATCATTCAGCAAGCAAGTAAATAACGATGACAAAATGCAAATCCATGTGAGTCTGGTTCTAGAATATGCATCTCTCAGGGAACACGCTAGTTTGAGACCACCAAGAAGAGTGAGCAGGTTTAAAATCAGAGAATGAAATCCTTTAAAGCATGTTCCTAGGCCTAAAAACATTTAGATGCTTTCATTCCAGTTTCCTAATAGACTGAGTCTCTGTGTCCCTTGGGATTTTAAGTGACTATGTGAGTGAGGTAAGTGTGTGAGTGTGTATGTGCGTTGTATATATGTGTGTATATATGTGGTGTGTGTGTGTGTGTGTGTGTGTGTGTGTGTGATATTACTTTCAGAACCTGTGCAGAAATGCTTCATTCTCTCTCTCTTTCTTCATGCTGTAATGAAAGGGGTGGGCTTACAGTCAGGACACCAGATAGGAGCAGGAAGTAGAGGAGGTCAAAGGGAAGAGGAGAGATAACTTTCTGAATCAATACGTAGATGAAGGTTTCTATAGTTGCAAATCACAGAGACTAACTCCAGCTATCCTATATAAATAATTATTTATGAAAGAATATGAGGTCATACATAAAATTTCCTGGGAGGTCAGAGAAACAGTAAAATGTCTACAGCCGTGAATAATGACAAAGTTGTGCTACCATGACGTTTCACTGGAAATGCCATTTAACACCACTGCTGGCCTAAGAACTCTAATATGACGACTAATGCTGAGTACAGCATAAACACTGCTTGTAACCCAAGGCCCTCTGGCTTCAGAAACTTAATATACCACTGCCACCTTTTCCGTGCTGCTTTTCGCCCCTTCTTTTTAAGGATGGAAGTTGGGAAGAGACATATCTCTGTCTTCCATAGTGGCAGGCTTATTTTTAAGATCATAAGTCAGTCTATCATAGAAACATTAAAAAATGCTGAGTGACAAAAGCATAGCAATAAGACAACTATTCATTTGGTCACCTTCCAAACAGAACCAGGGCTAGCATATTGATTAGTCTGCATAAAAGTATTGACAGAGACAGAAACCCAGAACGGTCTACCGTGGAATTACTTCATTTCAAAATCATCAAGGAAGAAGGTGTGACTAACACCAAACCCCTAACCAGCTCTCTTCAAAACATATTGTCTATCTTTATTTTTAAAATATATTCAACTAGCTTTAAATAAGATAATCTGAATTGACTGTCAAAAGCAATTTCCTATAGAGTCCTTTGGTAAAGTGAATGACTGCCTCTCAGTTTAGACTCCCTGGTTGACCTAGATTGGTTTACTCTAGGACACAAGCATTCAATTAATGAAGTAGAAAGGAAAGGATAGTGGTTATTAAAGATGCAAAGAGTTTCTGGTGAAGGATAATGTGTCTTTGGCTGAAACTTATGATCTGATTATATAAGAAGACTTTCTATGGGGGCCGGTCTGGTAAAATACCAAAGGTCACAGAGGCCCTGGGAGACTCAGTGGTGGAAAGGAGAACCACCTTATCTTACCTGAAGGGCTATGAAGTAACGACAACTCAATGAATAATTCACCACTTAAACTCTATCAACATTTCTGTGTCCTTTGGTATACAAAACACTGGCCAGGACTCACCACTGAGAAAACAGGCAATCAACCCAGTCCCTGCCATAAGGGCATCTGAACTCAGTTTGTAAGATGAGAAAGTAGAATGGAAAGAAAAAGAAAAAAAGTTAGTCTAGTGAAAAGGTACAAAGTCACATGGTGTTCATAGGCAGAGAGGGTGACATGCAGACTGGGTCTAGATAGGTGACTAGGTGACAGATTAAGAACCTATAGGAGATGATACACAAACCACAGGATATGCATGAGAGTTGGGGGTGTACAAGCCATGACACTGGGATCACAGGCATCAATCATAAATATCCTAGCCATCTTGGTGTTCAGTGTCACACCATGAATTGTTTCTCTAAGTCCAAACTACATTTGACCACAGCAGTAACAGACATCATGGCTTTAAATTTATAAAGCACTGAGAAGCAGAAAGAGGAGGAAGAGGTGTAGGAGAAGGCCATTTTAAGAGTTAACTCTGAGGAAATATGAGCCCCTAATAGGGGAGAAGTAGTGAGGACAGAAATTAGCCTAGGAAGTAGTGGGTGATATTATACAGAGTACATTTAGCCAATGGGCTGAGTTATTTCTTTGAATACATGTATAAGTTTAGGCCAGAACCCAGGCACATTATAGGGGAGAGAATAAGAAATTTCAGGATGGGTCACTGAAATGCTCCTTGTCTCTGCACCACAGACCATAGAGCCATGCTTAACAACAGAAGGATCTCTGTGTTATATTACAATATTTGTTCCCTGCCTTTTGGTCACCACTACCTCAACTGCCCCCCACATCTGATTCTCACCTCTGCAGTTAAGAGACTGCATTTGGCTTTAACCCCTCTCAACTACAATTCAAATACCCTGGAAAGGGAAGAGTCCTTACATTCTTATCAGTCTCCACTCAATTCTGCTTCTCTTATCAGAAGCTCCCTTATCATAGCCAGTCTCCTTTTGCATCACTCATACAGAATTAAGTCTTTGTTCGTCTTCAGTCTCACACACTGGTTTCTAATCTTCTGATGGCAGAGACAAGCTGTGGGTTTTTTTTTTTCATTTTTGGCATCTCAACAACTAATCCCATGCCCTGTATGCTGAGTGATAGATATTAGATGCCATATTTTCCACAAGGAGTTGAGACCTTAAACAAAGTCATTTAACCTCTTGAGCTTCCTTATCTCTAACCTATCTGCAAGATGAAAGCATTAAAATCCACTCCTTGGGTTGTTAAGAGCCTTGTATTGGAACATAGCTGGCAAACTATAAGTCACTGTACAAACACAAATCAATATTTGCAAACAGCTAACATAATTCCTGGCCAGTGACTGTGTGTTGATTGGGTGACGGAACAAGCGTGCATCTCTTTTATAAACACCCTTTCTCTCACTCAGGAGGGGTCTTAAAATGCAATAGGGGCATCGGAGGGCCAGCCAAGGATGATGATACTGGAATCCCATACTGGCATATGGATCTCCATTTGATGCTGAGATTTAGAGGAAATGGGAGCATGCAATTTCTGGTTCTGAAGCCTTTCTCAGTGAGAGGCATCAGGTGTTCAACACTGGTGGACCCCAGCTTCTCAGATGAGCTCTACCTTCTTGGGCCCCCTCCTTCAAATCCTCCCAGACAGAGATCACTACTCATGCATCAGCTGCGAGGCCCCATTGCAATATATTATTCTCATATACTGGAGTTTGGTTGCTTCTCCAGGTTTCTGCATCTGTTTCTCTTTGAATCTGTTAACTAAATATATATCTGCTGAGCTCAAAGTATTTTTACATCTTTTCCTTCTAGCTCCCCAGCCAATTCTGAAACCTGCCTCTCTAAAACAGTCGATTTGTAAGTGGGTTGGTTTGGAACATCCTTAAGCAAAGTTCATACTCGGTATTTCTATAAACCCCCTCATTCTTTTCCGCTCTCCTCCCTAAGAAAAACCCAACCCAGAGAGAGAGAGAGGGAGGGAGGGAGGGAGGGAGAGAGAGAGAGAGAGAGAGAGAGAGAGAGAGAGAGAGAGAGAGAGAGAGAGAGAGAGAGAGTGTATGGAAGAAGTGGTTATTAGAAGCATGTCCAGGAGCAGATGGCAGGGCTAAAGGAAGGAATGCTGGTAACAGGGACTTCTCCTGAGGCATCAGCAATCAGCCTCAGAGGGAAAGATGCAATAACACAGTCACTTAAGGGAAGGAATCTTTCAGGAACATTAGAAATTATGAGACAAGAAAGCCACAGAGGACCACAGGTCAACACAGAGATGTTTCCAGGACCACATGATGCTCCTGGGGGACAGACAGCTCTGCTCCCCCAGACTGGCAGCTTTGACTATGAACCAAGAGTCAGCAGCAAGGGTGGCCACATCCCACCTCCAGTTAGCTCTCAGTCCATCTGTTTCCATTTATCTGGGTCAGTGATAGTTAAGACTTGAACAAGTTAGAAAGAAATTATCTGGCTTGGTTTGGGCCTTTTATCTCCCCTTCTTACTGTAGAATCATCTGTCATGCACCTGTACTCTACAGGAGCCTCTGGCAACCTGAGTTTAAAATTTAGGTTCTGCAGAAATGTAAAGCTATTTTGAAGTCTGATTGCCCAGAAATCCACCATCACTGGTACACCGGTAAAGCCAAACCAGAGTGTCATATAATGGTTAACCCCAGAAGAAAACAGTTGGATTGGAAATAAAGAATTGGGGAGAACCAACTGAAAAGGAGGAAATTTTGCTTCTAGAGGAGTTTCTCACACAATGAGCTCACACAGTGCTCTGGCCTCCAGAGCATCCACCCTGCCTCTCAGGAACTCAGAGGGTGCATGCTAGAGTAGGTGCCCATGTATTAGCCATCAAAGACCAATCAAAACCCCCTTCCAGAAATCAATGGATAGAATTTAAACTCTCTTTAGAAATAGATAAAACCAGAAATGAGTGACTGGCCAGAGGCATGGCTAACTTCTCAGAATCCCAGGTTCTTCATTTTACAGAAGAGGAGTAAGACTTTTGCTGCCAAACACTGAGGATTACTTATGAGTGTGTATCTGTCAATCATCCCACAGAAGGATAGTGTGGGGATAATGAATCACGGATGCATGTTGATAGCAGAAATACTGATGAATAAAAATGAGCAAGAGAATTAGGAAGAGGAGGAGGAGGCAGAGAATGAGGAGGAGGAGGAGGAGGAGGAGGAGGAGGAAGAGGAAGAGGAATAGGAGGAGGAAGATGAGGAAGAGGAGGAAGGGAAGATCAACCAGGTCTAATTTCTTGGAAAGGGAAGGAATAACAACTTTTATAAAGGTAAAATGCAAGTGTTCGCTTTAACAGCACATATACTAAAATTGGAATAATAGAAAGTTAGCATGGCCCCTGCACAAGGATGACATGCAGATTCCTAAAGCACCGTCCCTCCACTCGTTTTTGCATTTTATTTCCTTATTACTCTTTAGATGACTGCTTTCTTCTTTCTTTCTTTTTCTTTCTTTCTTTCTTCCTTTTTTTTAATTGGGCAGTGTTTTATTTTCCTTTACTCCTTAATAAATACTTCTTGATGACTCCACATGGGGTAAGGCTGCTTGGTAGTTCAGAAAGTTCACAGCGATGGTGTTTTCCTGACAGTGTGTAGTCTTCAGTAGAGAGTGCAATGACTTGTATGATGTCACTGTCAAACCAGCAAGACTGCATTTATGAATCCGTCGTTTTCAGAATTGTTGGTAACTTGGGCATACTTTCCCCAAATAACCTTGCCTCCTTGTGTCACAAGGCCCAACTCACTCACACTCACTTCAATAACTGTACCTTTGGTGACCACACCCAGGGTTGTATATAATGGGGATGATGGATTCTTTTTCACACGTAGTAAAGGCAGGCAAAAAGTAGCCTTCAGCTCAGGGTGTGTGACATGTTCTTTTTTGAAACGTAGACCCATTGGCCTAATGAACCTTTCATATTTAGGTGGTTTTCTTGTAAAACTATCACCAAGAAAGTAAACTTTAGTAACCATTCTCTTCCATGCCTTCTTTTTTCTTTTTCCCATCTGAATAACTTCCAACACTTCTGTTTCTCCTCGGGCATGAACTTTGGATAGAGGATCTCCCATTTTCCCGCCTTTTCTTTTTGCTTCTGCTTAATCATGTTGGGAAGTATTTTTGCTCTCAACTGTCCCTCTCTGTCCAGCAGATAGGGAGGGATTGCTCCTTGTGGAGTCTTCTCATCGTCCTTCTGCTTGGTGTTTCTCTTTTCATGCATCTTAATTGTCTTCTTCATTTGTATCTTCTCGGCATGGTGATGTTTATGGTAGAGCTTAGCCTTCAGGCCAATCTTTTTTTTTTTTCTTTGCCTTCTTTGAACGTTCATGGGCCTCCTTACCTCCTTTCTTTTTCTTTTTCTCATGGTAATCCAAACAATATCCATATTGTTTGCGGTACAATTCAATATATTCATTTGGTGGCATGATGTCAGCTGCAGAGCAGCCGTCCACGAAAATATTGTATAAAATCTACTTTTAGTAAAATAATAAATAAATAAAAATGTAAAAAAATGAAGAGTAAAAGGCAAGGGTATAGAACAAAGCTATTGGTGGAAATAAGAAATGGTACATACACTGTGGAAAACGTGCTAAAATTCTTCCAAAATTTGGAGGAAAAAGTACAGCATAATCTAGTCAGATCACTTCTGTGCACATTCGCAAGGAAATGAAGTCAACACTATAAACATTATAAAATCTATAGTGGCATACTTCCTTTTTTGTGACACTATTCACAATGTCTAAGACAGGGACTCAGTCTCTGTGCCCATCAACATATGAATGAAATATATGCACATGTATTTATGTATGTATGTATGTATGTATTTACCTACAGTGGGGTACTATTCAGTCACAAAGAAAAATAAAACCCTTTTATTTACAGCAAGAGTTTAACATATGTTAATTAAAAGAAGCCAAACACAGAATAACAAGTATCACATGATCTTTCTCATACATGGGAAATTGAAAAAGAACTGAAAATGAAAGAGGAATTATGAGGAACTGAGAGAAATGCCCAGGTGAAAGGAGAACACCATAAATGTAATGTACCTATATAAAATATAGCATTGACTCCATTACTTTGTGAAACAAATCTATGTTAGTTTATATATATATATATATATATATATATATATATATGCACATATATATACATATATGTATATTAGATTTAGATTTGCATGTAAATACATGTACTATGTGCATACTTAGTGCCCACAGAGGCCAAAGAGGACATCAGGGCCCCTGGAACTAGAGTTACAAATGACTGTGAACTGTCATGTAGATTTGAGGAACAGAATCTGGGTCCTCTGCAAAAGCAGCCAGTGTCCTTAACCACTAAGTAATTTCTCTAACCCCAATATTGTTTCTAAAATAAGTAAGTAAAAACACATCAAGAAAGAAAATAAAGGAGAGGAAAGAATGAAGGAATGAAGGAAGGAAAGAGAGAAAGAATTCTCAGGTAAGGGCTTCTTTATAAAACTCCATTCTCTTCCATCTAACATAAAATGATTTTTAAACACCCCCCAAAATAGATTATATCCTATATATTGAGAAACCTTCTTCCTACCTCCCAAGAATGTCCCAGAATGTAGAAATGCATGTTTAAGACATAGCTTCAACATACATCCCTGACTGGCTAGCTAGCTTTGAATTCAGGGAGTTTGGCCTGTCTCTGCGTCCAAATTGCTGAGATTAAAGCCATGCACTACCACACCTGGCTGTGTTCTTAAAAATAATTATTAACAGGTTTGATCTATTGCACAGATTTTCAAATCTGCTCCAATTCTTTCTCCAGAAACATTAATGAGAACACATTAATCACCAGTCATTATACTAAGTGCTAGACATCCAAAAACAAATAAATAGGAAAAGGGAGTTTGTCACTCAAAGGGGGACAAACTGTATTGATATGCCACTAAATTTGGTACCAAGTGATGATGCCACAGACACAGTGCTAGCTGCAGCAGCAATTACAGCAGTTACCTGCTTGACAGATGTGGGACTCTTCATTGAAAGTCTACTGAAGTTCTGACTAGGAAGGAGCAAGGCAAAGAAAAGAGGGAGACCCTCCAGTTGGGTTTGGCAGAAAGAGCAGGACAAGTACCTGTGTGCTCCTCTTGGGGGACTTAGCACGTCCATACTCAGGCAACACAATGCTGCCTTACTTGCACGATAACCTATAAAAAACAATTCTTGACAAACTTGACAAAAAGTTTTGTTCAGTATTGTAGTGTTCTGTGAGAAATCAGCTTGTTCAAACACTTCACAATGAAATGCCCATTGGTATTTATGGCATCATCGCCATTATTATTAATTTCTGGAAAAATACTGATGTAAAACAATGTATTTTCAATCATGAGAATTTCACTCATGCTGGTAAGTCGGGTCAAGGTAGAAGTTGGGAGGATGGATCATTTGGAGCTGAGAGTCACATTAGCATAAGGATGTAGACACTTCTTAGTAATTTCTTGATTCATAGATATATTTGGAACAGCTGCTATTAGATAGAAAAAATCTATCATTGATTCTAGACACCCAGAAAAAAAGATATAAAAGGGGATGGGCAGTTATTTAGTTTTGTTTGGTTGGTTTTGGTCTGTTTAAATGTATGTTCGTAAGCCACTTATGGGAAAGGGAAGATAGGTGCCTGTACACAAAGTTCAAGACTTGGGTTTGCAGAAATGATTTATTCTTTTCTCCTGATGTTACTAGCAGTGTGTCCAGTTTTCAGTAGGACACTTAGCAAGACCACGATTATAAATGTAGTGTTCCTCCTAGGCATATACCTAGAAGATGCTCGAACATATAACAAGGACATATGCTCAACTATGTTCATAGCAGCCTTATTTATAATAGCTAGGAGCTAGAAAGAACCCAGATGTCCTTCAACTGAGGAATGGATTCAAAAAATGTGGTATATTTACACAATGGAGTATTACTCAGCTATTAAAAACAATGAATTCGAGAGGTTCCTAGGTAAATGGATGGAACTAGAAATTATCATCCTGAGTGAGGTAAGCCAATCACAAAAGAACACACATGGTATTCACTCACTGATTATTGGATATTAGCCCAGAACCTTGAAATGCCCAAGATGCAACTCACAGGCCACATGAAGCTCATAAAGAAGGAAGACCAAGTGGGGGTGATTCGGTCCTTCTTAGAAGGAACAACAAAATACTCAAGGGAGGAAATATGGAGACAAAGTGAGGGACAGAAACTGAAGGAGGGGCTGTCTGAAGACCACTCCACCTGAGAATCTATCCCATGTGCAGTCACCAAAGGTAGATGCTGATGTGGAAGTCAAGAAGTACATGCTGATAAGAGCCTGATATGGATGTCTCCTCAGAGGTCTTCAAGAGTCTGACATATTCAGAGGCAGATGCTCACAACTAGCCATTGAACTGATCATGGGGTTCTCAATGGAGGAGTTAGAGTGAAGACTGAAGGAGCTGAAAGGATTTGTGGCACCATGAGGAGAGCAACAATACCAACCAACCACAGCTCCCAGGGTCTAAACCACCAGCCTGGGAGCACTTAGGGAGGGATCCAGGGCTTCAGCTGAATATGTAAGAGTGGAGGGCCCTGCTGGGCATAGGTGGAAGAAGAGAACCTTGACCTCATGAAGGCTGGACGCCCCAGGGGGTGGGAATTTTGAGGGTGGGGAGGTGGGAGTGGGGGGGAAGATAGAGGTTACATCCACAGAGAAGGAGGAGGGGTGAGGGGATTGGGGGTTCCTGGGTGGGTAGGGGATGGGGTAAGGGGACAACATATGAAATGCAAATAAAACATCCAGTAAAATAAATTAAAAATCAACAAACAAACAAACAAATAAATAAATAAATGTGTTCATAAAACATCTGGGAATTGTGTAAGTGCAGAGTCTTCATGATTCCAAAGCCAGTGTTATGAAGTGGAGCAGCAGATTCCAAAGACACCGTCCAAGATTACCCCTCCATCTAGAATTTACAATGCACCATGCAGGAACTGGGCTGAAGGTTACTGACCCTTAGAAAAATTTCTGCTCAAGCTGATTATGAAAAGCCAAAGAGAAAAAAGTGGTATTTTAAACAGGGGAGGTAAAATAAGCCTTTGAAACTATTTCAAGCTTATGACTTGCATGAAAATTTCAAGCTAAATACTTACCAAAGCCATGTTGAGCAGCTATTGTGCACAAATGGATAGTCAAAGGGACTGGAGGATCGTTTGCCCTCACATGTAGATAATTGCCAATGAATTAAAGAGACTAGGAAATGTGGCCCTCCCTTCTCCCCAACAGCTCAACAGCTGGCAGGGACAAAGGAAGCAGAAAGTGGTGGGGGCAGGGTGGGCAGGGTTCAGACTGCTGTGAGTGTGAAGAAAGGACTTCTAAGGATCATTGCAGTGAGATAA